CTAGCTATATAGTATAAGCAAAGCATTATGATATATCCCTTTGCATGCTCTTACTATCCCTGCTCCACGGTTGATCAGGGCCATGACATCATCAGTGGCATTATGGCCAGGTCTGTAATGAAATCGGTAAAACGTATTCCCTACAGCAAGCATCACCTCTCACCTTTCCTCTCCTTCTCCTCCTCCTCCTGCTCCAGTATTTATAGTATCTGTTGCAGGACTATGGCTTCATGCTCCAACTATAACAAGGCGGGAAGTTATCACGTGACTTTCTTTGAAATAATTCTTACCCGGACTAGCGACTATGTCCAACTCTCTTTGGAGCGACTCTATCATGAGATTACAGTCTAAACTACTCGTCATACTATCCCCTCCTGGGGAGACTGGCCTCTCATCCTAAGGACATCTCTGTTCCAATTACTTCCAAAGTCTCAGCATCTCTCCTTGCCAGAGTTTCTCCGCCATTTTCAACCATGACTGTTGCTAATTGCTATAGAAACTAGTTCTACCATGCGCACGCCCCAAAGCCGCGAAAATTAAAATAGTACTGAGAACTTTAGGATTATGGTTGCCTAAAATAAAAATCACTTAAGAACTTTCTTTGTTTTGAAGATATGTTTGCCTAAAAATTATGTTAAAGACATAAAAGCGGATAGTTCATTGTTATAGTTACTCTCTTGTTCAGGCTACAAACAAATATTCTTCTTGTAATGGTAGACTCACAGAAGATGCTGCAGTCATCACAATTGCTGGAGGAGTAGAAGATATATTACTAGGAAATACAAGTACTGAATTGGTTGCATCTACTGCTTCAGTATCATGTACTATGTAGACTGGAGCTTACTGCACTGACCACTGCAGTAGTGTAGACTAATTAAATTTTGGGCAGGGCTGACATTCCAAACTGAAGTGAAATGCCATCCAAACCAGAGGAGCTGAAAAGAGCCTTTGAGACTGAGAGAACTTAGTGAGTAGATATTCATAATAATTGTTTTATTAGTATTATTAATGATTGATATTAGTGATTTTCAATTGGTATGGGAAAAAGCTGGTGTTCTGTTCTTTCAGGACGCTGGGACTCTATTGGTATATATTCTGTTAGGAATCAGCCCTAATAAGATAGATGAGATTGAAGCAGAGGGCAAGCCTCCAAGAACTTGTCTACGGAAAGTATTTGATTGCTGGTTAAAGAAGGACTATGACTATAAGAGTCATGGTGTCCCTACATTAAGAATGCTTTGTAACTCCATTAAAAGTAATAGTGGAGGAGCTGATCCAGCTCTAGCTGATGAAATAGAAAAAGAATATACCATTAATCTTACTAGTAGTGGAGAGGCTACTACATCACCAGTTAATGCTTCATCTTCTAAAGGTAAATATAATACAATAATCAGTATTATTTATGTATTATTTCAGAAGCTACTCCAACTGTTGAGCTACCAACTCCTACTTCACCTCAATTTGAGTCTTCAGTTGTTTACGTTAAGAAGAAATCAATTGAATATTCATCAAATAACCTGACACGAATAATTGGAGACCTAAAAGAAGTTTACCTTGATAATATGTATCATACAGAGAAGTCCTTCTGCTCTCTTGACGTCTCAGAAGTTATCAATTTCATTCAACATTACATTGCACTTTTACTCACTTTTGCCAGAGACGACTACACATTAAATGATCTATATTTCTTTCACAAGCTAATCGCTGATGCACTTGAAGTTCCTCAATATAAATTCTACTTTTGTACAATTGATGATGACTGCATGGAATTAAAATATTCCATTCCTGATTTTCTTTATTCTGTTCTCTTTCCAGCAACCAATCAACAGTGTCATTCATTGGCTGAGATTGAAATCATATGTACATAAAAAGAAGCAGGTATGTCAATAACTAAGAATTATAATCATATTTTATAATTATAGTTGCCAGATAATGAATTAAAGAAGCTTCATGATTCTCCTATTGGTAATTATTATAATCATTAACTTTATTTATGATATATTATATAGATATTTATGATCCTCTCTGGTATGAGAATACCAGCACTCCATTGAATGAAGCATGTTGGAGAGGATTAAAAGATGAAGTACAACGATTGATTGACAAGACTGGCCTTCAGGAAAGAGGTAAAAATGGATGGAGTTGATGTTTATCATTGCGATCCTTCACAAGGTGATGACGATGGTGTTATTAGTTTACACATGGCCTCATATAAAGGCCATCTCAATATTGCACAGTATCTAGTTAATGAATGTCACGTTGATCCAGACATAGCAGATAGCTCTGGTAACACGGGATTGCTTTACTCAGCACTGGGTGGTCACGTTGACCTCACGTTAAGTCATGTTGTTTGCGGGTTTGCTCAATTTTTCAATTAATAACTGTTAATAAACGTAAATTATTAATAAATGCGAGTATTAATTTTTGCAATTTTAAAGCCACTCACAAAAAACGCAAAAATTAGTACTCGTAAATAATAGTGGCCTTAAGGTAGATTGGTATCATACTCTCTCTCTCTCCCTCCTCCATTTCTGTAGAATTCTCCAACTAAAAAGAGTCCAGACTCACTAGTGAAGTACATGGTTGATGTAGCAATGGGAATGCACTACATAGCAGAGAGAGGACTAGTACACAGAGTAAGTCTACATACACTACATTCATTATAATGTACATGTACATTGTCTCCAGTGACTGCAATACTTAATAATTCAAAATTTGGCCCATGACATTGTACAGGGACTTTGCTGGCAACTTTAAAAATTTGTAAAAAATCTAATTTAGATCGGAATCAGTTCAAATTTTCTATGCAGCATAAGTACATGTATAGTGGAACCTGCTTAATCCGGTCACCCTTGGGCCAGTTTTAAATGGCCTGATTATGCAGGTGGCTGCATTACAGGTCAGCCTCTGTAATACACCCATTGACCATTTTGTAATGGAATGGCCTGTTTATACAGGTCAAGAAAGTTAATTGAATTGATTGATATCACTGATATGCATCATAATTATTTTATTATTAAACTGAATAAAATAATAAACTCAACAATAATTAATAATGGGTGTGGTTTCTGGTTGGCCGGAGTAGCAAGTTTATATCAGATCAAAGGGGACTTGGACGAGCGGCCGCTTTGTGCATTATACAGGGACGCATATTAGACAGTCAATAGCTAATCCTTTAGTACAGGTCTTGATCAGGACTTTGGCTCATGGCTACAATAGAGAGGTGGCCTCACTACTCAGGTGACCGTTAGCACAGGTTCGACTGTATATGCATCAGAGAATGTCATAAAAATAAAGAATTCTCACCTTTTCATTTTTGGCAGAATTTGGCCCGTGACCCTGTACTATAGTACATGGACTTTGGTCCGATTTTGAGCAACTTTAAAAATTCATATAAAATCCAATTTTAATCGGAATCAGTTCAAACTTTCTACGCAACATACATGTAAGTACATGTATATGCATCAGAGAATGTCATAAAAATAAAGAATTCTCACCTTTTCATTTTTGGCAAAATTTGGCCCGTGACCCTGCACTATAGTACAGGGACTTTGGCCCAATTTGTGAGCATGTATTATTCTTGGTTCGATTTTGAGCAGTTTTAAAATATCCTTTACTTTTATTCCAACAGGATCTAGCAGCTCATAA